TACACTAACCCACATGGAGCGTTCGCCGAGCATGCCCTAGTTACAAGAAAAGCTATGGAAAACCTACGGTTCTGGAAAGCAGAAGTAAGTTAGGTGAATGTCGATTGACCCAGGAAGGCTCGGAAGGAAAAGCGATGGCCAACTCAAATTTCCACCAATGCAAATATTTTTACAACGGATACTTTGAACTATTTCTATACTTTCATGACTTCTTCATGATCATGTTATAAATCTACGTTAATAGCACGCCTTAAAAAGTGACGAGGTGTCTACAAAGAAGACATTTTAAATCCTGAATTCTTATGACACTTGATTCCACAGGTGTGTTAGGTAGTTTCATAAAACATTTCAATTTCGTGAGGTTGAAATTTGTAACTTCCTGCCAGGAATGATTGGGCGAAGGCGCTGCCATAACTGTGGCCAGATGGTGGACTGTACGTGCGTCCAAGGTTTGAATAAGAGTTTCTCTAGGATGAGGCGTGTCTGGCAATGTGAAAATCGCGCCCTCCACCAAAAGAGGGTCCATAGCTAGTACAAGGGTATATGGAATATGTCCTTAGAGAGTATACCGGCCTTGCTGAGTTAGTTTTACGGGTCCCCAGCCTGGCTTGTTAAGCAATGAAAACAGAAAGACGCGCGATGTGTACTGGTATCCGCAACTAGAAGCTGCATAATAAGTCAGTAAGAATTCAACTGTCGATCCTTTTCAAGGGAGAGAAATAATCTCCACTTCACATACATTTAAAATTTTCAGAAATGCTCATAAGATTTAGCAATATTTATTCAATCAGCTGTGCACAAAATATCATATCATGAGTCATTAACTTTCTAAATTTACCACGCTGAGTTACTGTAAGTATTCCTTTTACTCGATGTTCCGGCGCTAGTTAAATTTTAACGCTTCCCAAGCGGTGAAGATTCAAGGGGCGGCATTTATTCCAATGCGGTGTGCGTTGATTTTAAATCAGATTTATGAACCCATTGACATCAATCACTGTAAAACATTCGTAAGTGGTATGTAAAGTGGAAAGTTTGCAGAGACCGTTAGTCTGAATCGCTTCAGAGGCGGAAAATCGAGTTTCTCCCCATTAGGCCCAACGAAGTCCGGAGGAAAGCTTATCATTGAAATGATGTTGGAAGCTTACGTTTCGTTTTCCTTTATTCGAAATTTCAGAAAACCCTAAATTCCCCAGCCGTTGTTGAAATTTCGTGCAGGTTTCAACTACCCGTGCAAAGGCACAAAACCCTGTCTGAACATATCTTTCGCTTCTTTCGCACTTTGCTCGCGTTGTGCTTGAGTAACAAATTAGTGAAATGAATCTTCGAGGGCAATTCGTTTTTCGCAGTTATGTAGTAAAAGAGACTCGTTAAAAACCTGAGCCTAGAGAGCACTCGCATCTAAGGGCATAGTAAGTGTATATTACATGTATATGACACACGTTCCTGATCAACTATGCCGTGGACCACATTGTGCTGTTTTGTTTTGTTTGTTTGTTTTTTTTTAATTAGAAACCATACGTACTCTCAGATTTCAATTTTGTAGATTCTACTTCAAGGAGGAGAAAAGGCAAGCAAACTCAATCAATCACACACTTACTCCATGATAAGCCTGTGTATCCATCAAAGATGTATTTTCCCACACGGACAATCGTCACTGTTGGTCCTTTGTTGTCACACAAATAGTGCAAGGTTCCGGCACCCCAACCATCCTCTAATGCCCGTTAACATCTCTTCCAGTGAGAGGAATGGCTCTTCACTACAGGATTTAACCAGTAACTTAAGGTGCTCAGGTGATTGTTGTCATTTGCCGGTATTGCTGATTGTGTTAAACCTTTCAGAATGGAAGAATGGTACCCCCTTACTCTTGATACAAAGCGTGTAGGGTTGTATTTAACAAATAAAGGAGCTCCACTGTACTCTGTTCTGTCTAAAGTGGTTAGGAAACAGCTATGACACGAAAGAAGTGTTGGGAACTAGACGTAGTGGAGAGTTTTCCCTTGTTCTTGAGTGCTCTTAATAAAGGCGCTTCCTGCTTGCCTTACAACAGAACACAACACAATATTGAGATATATCCATCGATAGAAAGTTGATATAAAACGAATCGCCAAAACATATGGTCACTTGATGACTTACCTACTGGTGAAGGTCAAAATTTTGGTGAAAAATGTTTTTCATAGAACACATTGTCAATCCAATCAACGCTTGAAGTGCAATTGTCGATAGCAATTTGTAATTCCAAGGGTCGTGTTTTGAAATCGACTCTAAAGCGCAAGAATAAAACCGACCTCGAGCTCTAGCCAGCTAAACTATTAAGTTTCGTTGAAGTACGTCCTTTGGACATTAATTGCAAAGGTTTCAAAACGCTTCGAACGCTATTAAGCAGACATAGAGCGAGACTATAAAAGAGTTTTTTCTTTTTATTTTTGCATAAGAGTACCTCCCACATTTATCTTAAAAGGAAAGAATGACATTATCAACCTGATTTGGCCCGAAGTGAAGGCACCATAAAGTTGTTAGGCCCACGATGGCAAATTTCAAAAAAGGGGCGTGTTTTCATTGCCACCAGGAATATTCTCCTTAGCTTTAGGACAATCTGGTTTAAACCGCCCACCGATAATTAACAAATGGTAAACACCACAGCGTACAGTATTGAGTTATGGATGCACGCGGGAGGTTGCTAAGCACAAAAGAAGCGTAAGAGGCGCTCGAGGCGATAGCCAACAGCGATTCTAGCTTCTTGAGTGCTTAGCAAACCTCCCAAGTGCATCCATGACTCAATAGTGTACGCTGTGGTGTTTACCATTTGTCTTATAACATAACAATGATACATTGTAGCTAAAGAGTTCCCTTTTATTTAACAAATTTTACGCGACCAGAAAAAAAGAAGCGCACGCGGAAAATAGTCTTTGTATTTTGCTCACGCCAGCAGCGTACAACCATGGGCAAATGGGGGACGCTAAATTGACCAATCAGAGCGCGCGCTTTACTTTGGTTATGTTATAATGCAAACTCTGACCGACTGGCCTAAGTTCCAAGGACTTTTTAACGCATTATTTTGCAGATAAACCGACAGATAGAAAAAGAACTATGGCACTTACTTCCTGAATCGTTTGGAAGCTGATTTAGCATGAAGGGTAACAAAACTTAAACCAGGCTAGAAGCTCAATAGTGGCCGTTAAATGAAGACCATTTCTTCAGCTAAACTTTCTAGGGATAAAATTGAGGGCTTCACCCTGAAATGTTTCCTGCTCTGGCTTTTTGTAAAGGGAGAAATTCCACAAAATTCAAAAGGGGGATTGAAAACGAAAGCTAAGTCGGAGAAATAAACTCAGACAATTAAATTTAACCGAAGTTTTTAGAAGTCAGCATGTAAATTACTCTGAATGATGCGCTGCAGCACATGTGTTTTAAAGACGTTTAATTTATTATGCTGTGCAGCACCAATACAATCTTACCTTTTTCGGCCAAACAGATATTTCCACGGAGGAAAAAAACTATGATCAAGACGGTTAACTGTGTCATTCTTCCAAGCTATCCTTCACAGAATGGCGTTGGCCAGTGACTCAGGTCCTTATATTAGAACTTAGAACAGCGTTTTGATTGGTTCAAATCGACATTCAACTCAAGCAGAGGAAAAGAAGGTAATGAGGAAATATCTCGCATACTGTAACCTTCACGTGAACACACTCTGCAATGTGATATTTTAAGTGGGACAAGTACAAACCTGTGACTGGTAAAAACTCATTTACCTGGTGTACGTTTCATTTTATCTGTGTGCGATTTTTATTTTGATCTAAAGGGCAATGGAAATCACGTAGCTACATGATGCACACTGTTGCATGATTCATAGCATCGAATAATTTTTAAGAGTGCTCAGCTACATTCTTTAATTGTCGGCTTGTTTCTTTCATTTAGATGGGGAATATCACTATCATGTATCCTATATATTTGTGTCATGAATCTCAGATTTGGAAATGCGTATGTGGTGGTTCACCATATGGCTGTGGGACCAATCGGGACTTCCCCCTTGAAATCACCTAATTACAAACTTTTGATCTCAATTTTTACTCTGTGGCGGTAAGGAGAAAAATTTCCCTTTTTATTCGTCTATCTATAGACCCCTTTGACGGAGTGCGAAACTTTTAGGGGTAAATACATTAGTTACAAATTACGAATTAACCAGGCGGCCTTGGGCGTAACGAGGACACTTCATAAGAAAAGGCTTCATTAAGGTATTAAATCATGTTAAATTATCTTACATCCTGCAAAAGATCTATTTTCGCTTATGGAGATATCTTTAGAAAATATTCATCTTCTTTACGTTATCAGATAAAGCTGTAACTCTCGTACAATGAGTGCGATCCACAATTTGAAGAATTTCGAAAAGGGGACGTGTTTGAATATTGATTACTGGACCTTCATCGACGTGTTGAAACATACCCAGCAACGAATTAATTCCTCCCATTTCAGTAAATAAAACAATGTTCTGATTAGCTTAAACTTGCCCCAACTCGCACAAAAGTATCAGGTTTACTAGAGGAAGATAAGATGGGGAAAGAGGGTTCATTTCACCAAAAATAGCTTTAAAAAAGATATACTGATATGTTAGAGGGATACAGGTTGAGACTTGCCACTGACGAAAAACCAAACATTGAAACCATTCACTAGCTCGACTGAGTGAAAGGTTGTTATTGGATTAAAATCAGTAAATAGCTCTGCGCCACTTTCTTAATGTTCCTCTCAAAATTGTAAGTTTTCCTGAGAAAGTTACAAAC